TTGCACCCTCAGATTCTAGATTTTCAAATAGTTGTATCTCGACCAAATATTGTCCTATCCTATGATATGACAGAAGAGATTGATGTAAAAAATCTCAAAATAAAAATATTACAAGTGTGACAAAACTAGTGCCGTTTTTCTGTTGATTCTGAGGTGAAAAAGACCATTTTTCGTTAAGTTCACCTTGAAAACATCTTCAGTCAGCATGTTTTGCTTTTTTCAGTTTTGAAGCATTAACCCAGGGTGCAAATATAATGTCACACACCTGCTGTTGACATTCGTACAGCGTTCCGCTCATATTTTCATACAGGTCACCGTGGAAACGCCAATGAGCGCGCACCTCAAAGTTTCGACCTAAATTCCGGAAGTTTCATGGGACGGAACCTCCATATATGAATAATTGTGGGAGGAGCCACGCTTACAGGTGTATAAGTGCTGCAGGTTTAAATGAATCATGCAATTGATACCAGCAGCCGAGCGAACGAGGGCGAGCGTGGAGGGAGCACAACTTCTGGTTTTAAGGTTTGGGGTTTTATTTTTTTAGTGGCTGTCGCATCAGGATTCGTATTTATTCGATTTCAGGAATTCCCGTTGAAGTAGACCTGGCTGTTTGTGAACACGTTTAGCGCTTTTATAACGTTTAGATGTGTTTAATCTATTCTTTTGAGTTCAAATGCTGAACATGAGTGGAATCCACCGGGGTTTCACGTCTTTCCAGTTGTGTTTGGGAGTGGTTTGGATGGATTTGTCTCGTTGGGAGTGGCGTCACTAGCATGTGTGCTTCATATGAGAGTTTTGGGAAAGCATCTATAAACCCCCCTTTAAGGATTTTGAAGTTTTATGGCACAAGCTTGATTTGTAACCGTGTTTGCATGGAAGAGAGGAAAGCTATGCTACATTAAAGCTAGAAGGCATTAGCAGGGTTATTTTGGTTTACAAATAAGCTTATTTAAATATCTCGTTAGTAATTTGGTCTCCTTTTTGTCCACCAGAAGGGAAACCTAAAGACTCCTTGGATATGGCTTTCAACAACACCCTGACCTCAAGAGCTGTTCTGCTCTATGATGAGTGGCTTAAGGAAGCAGGTGAGTTTGCATCATCAGCACATCTGTGTCTGTAGGGTTTCTGTAATTGGTTGTGAAATAAGACATATTTTGCCTCGCTTGTAGATCCACGGACCGAGAACTGGCTGCTTATGGCCTCTCCGTTCCCTCAAACAGTCATCATCGCTGCTTACATCTACTTTGTGATGTCGCTGGGGCCTCGGCTGATGGAAAACCGCAAGCCCTTCGACCTGAAGCGTCCAATGATCATCTATAACTTCAGCATTGTGGTGTTCTCCATCTACTTGGTTTATGAGGTTCTTGAACACGTTTCATCGTGAGTTTCTAGTGTTTTTCTGTCCTATTGTTGTGTGTTTATCGAAATGTGTCTTCCTTTTACAGTTTCTCATGTCTGGTTGGGCGAATGGCTACACCTATGGGTGTGACCTCGTGGATTATTCCAGTTCTCCTCAGGCTCTCAGGGTATGTGAATGGAGCACATTCTTGTGATTGTTCAATTGTTGCCAATGATGAGTTCAACTATTTGACACTTCCTTATCCTTGTTTCCTTCTAGATGGCATGGACCTGCTGGCTGTACTATTTCTCCAAGTTCATTGAGATGCTTGACACTGTAAGTGGGCTTCTTTTGTATTCAGAACATAAACATTAGGTCTTTATGATGGATGATCAATGCTGAACCTCTTATATTATCTTGTCTTCACAGATTTTCTTTGTCCTGAGGAAAAAGAACAGTCAGGTTACTTTCCTTCACGTCTTCCATCACTCCATCATGCCCTTCACCTGGTGGTTTGGGGTCAGATTCTCCGCAGGTAAAGTATTATAGATCATTCAACCAAAAATGACAGTTGTCTCATACCAAACCCAAAAACTTTGGGTAAACTGAGAGGTTTCTGTCTCGCCATTGAAAGTCCAGATGACCAAAACTTCCAAAAGGTCCCAAAAAGATCATAAAGGCATTATAAAATGACTCCCAATGAAATGGACGGTTCAATCAAAGTTTTGTGAAGAGGTTCAATTTCTTTGAGCCAATTTAATGTAAGGTTTTAAACCACTTGATTCGTTTGATGCATTTATGACCTTTTTGGATCCAAGTTTTGGTTACCTTTCAATAGAGGTTGAACGATGAATGATCCCTTTAAATTCATCCTAAAAAAAATAAGTGCATGTACATGCTAAAAATAGTCCATATGACTTGTTAAATGCATGCCAAACAACATATCCTTAAGTTGCTTGACAGTTGTGGCCATCCACTTTACTTGTATGCAAAGCATAAAATGTCTATGCAGCTTAATTTTCTCATATTTGGGTTAAATATTCCTATAATGAATACTGTTAAATGGTATGTTTTGCTTTCTTAGGTGGTCTGGGAACCTTCCATGCCCTGCTGAACTGCATCGTCCATGTCATAATGTACACCTACTATGCTCTCTCCGCCCTGGGACCCGCCTATCAGAAGTACCTGTGGTGGAAAAAGTATATGACCACCATCCAGCTGGTAAGTTACCAGCTTACATACCCATCCCCAGTGTCGTTTGTCGAAATCCAGGCTTTTTGATGTTGGAACTCTAAACTGGTTCTAACTCGATCCTTTCTGTGTGTTAGGTTCAGTTTGTGCTGATCACCGCTCACATTGGCCAGTTCTTCATGAAGGACTGTTCTTACCAGTTTCCTGTGTTCCTCTACGTCATCGGTTCATATGGGCTGATCTTCCTGTTCCTGTTCCTCAACTTCTACTATCACGCCTACACCAAGGGCAAGAGGCTTCCCAAGGTGTTCCAGAACGGAAACTACCTTCTCAAGAAATCCGAGTGATCTTTCCTTTGGCCACCCAAACGTGAAGCTCTAACCTATTAAGTGGGAATATTCCTTTTTATTTCATCCGTTCAAGTTCCACTTCCCTGTTTTATGTTAAAACTAATGTGGAATCCACCTTATCACTGGATTTAAGACGTCTGAAAATTGCACACCGGTGTTTCACTAGAGATGCTGTCCTCATTTTTGTTGTCTTCACTTAAGGCTTTGAAATGAGTATGGGGTGGGAAGTACAGTGTTTTTGTTCTAATATGCTCTAATTTACCTGTAAATTGAATTTTTCAGCTTTGGAATATGATTGAACTGCTGGCCAAATCTGAAAAGGGGTTATGAGAGCACAGGGGATTGAAGTTTTTCTAAAAGGGTTTTTGAAGGTTGTGTTTTAGTTGTAACTGAATGAGCCCGAGGCCCTTTTACCCCGGAGGAATGCTTGACTGATCTACCTGGTTGTGCTTGAACCTGAAAGTTTGCCGCAGAAGTGACATCATCTGAAGTTTTGTCAGATTTATGCTGTGTGACTATTTATTCGTTATTTAATGTTGCTGTTTTCTTAATGTGATCTTTTTAAAATATTGATCTGTAGGAATTACCTGTTATGCTTTTATGTTCTACTGATCAGAGCGGAGGAAATGGAAGACCAGAACAATGTTACAGGATTTTTTCCTTGTTTTTTTTTTTTGTCTTTTTAAATGAATTTCCAATTTTGTGAAAAAAAGAAATTGAGTTTTTATAATGAAACGAAATAAATTGTCAATATCTCTTGGTGTTCTTGTGCTTTCATTACGTCTTCACACGTTTTCAACAGCGCACTTACACTACATCTCCCATACTGCACTTGGGCAACTCCCGGTAAAGGCGATGCCCATATTTGGTAAATCAGTAGCATCACGTGACTGATTTCGTGTGCCAATCACATTATTGGCAGGAACGTGTCGCTTTTCAAAATTAAGGGAAGTAACTGGCGTGGAGATGTTTACGGAGATAAACACGGTAACTTAAATGGCTAAATAAGATTTTGTTAATAAAAATTAATAGGGCTGAAATGGATGGTAAAATGATTGGACCGGGACCTTATAGGGCGACGAAATTGGTAAGTACATTAAAAAAAAAAAATGCTGAATGTTTTCACGCGTTGGTTGAGCACCTCACGTGAGCTGATTTATTGTTTACATCAGTATTTCTTTAAACTGTACAAAATATGTGTGTTTTAATTATATTGTCACACATCAGTATGCCTACATACATTTAAAGCCGCGAGAGAGTTTGTGGTTGCTTTATTTTCCGTAGGAATGCTGGAAAATATGTCGCGTGGATTCCGTGGAATACATGACGTGTTTTAGGCTTATTATATTACTGCCAAATAAAAAGGCCACTAATATTAGAAATATTGTTTCTTTGGTCTGTGACTGATTGTTAAAGTAGTCAAGGTAACCACTAAAGAATATCATCATTTTGCCCATGGCTTTAATTTGGCCGAACTGAGATAAATTGAACAGAAAATAGTTTACCTGAATTCACCCTACAGCTGTAAATCTATAACATTCAGCAAACATCTAGAAACAACTTATATCTTTTAGATGCACTTTATTGATCCCAGAGGGAAAATTCCTGTGTAACAAAAATTCACCATGGTATCTGCAGTTTCCATCAAAATACCAGTTACTTCATGGTTGTTACTAATAAAATAATATTAGATTTGGTGTAGGGATCAAAGAGGTTTTCAAGCAACAAAAATATAAAAGTTTAATACAGCTATATGTGTGTGTGTGTGTATTTTTGTATACAGTATATATATTTTGTGTGTGTGTGTATACACTGTGTGCACAATTATTAGGCAAGTGATGATTTTGACCATATCATCATTTTATCCATAATTTCCAAGTCCAAGCTGTATAAACTTGAATGCTTATTGGATTTAATGCATATCAGGTGATGTGTATTTGTTTGACGAGGGAGGGTGTGGCCTAAGGAGATCAACACCCTATATCAAGGTGTGCATAATTATTAGGCAGATTGTTTTTTTTTTTTTAGAATGTGTTGTTTAATTTTATATTTCCTGAGCAAAACATGCATACATGCATTTTTCATACAGCCCCCGAAACTAATTGTCATTTTAAATCTTTGCCACTATCCTTCGAACCACTAGGTTGGGTTTTACCCGTTTGTCAGCAAGAAGTTTTTAAGAATTTAAAATACAATACAATGTAGTGTGATCACTTATTTTTTTTCTGTTTTAATAAGTACAGGTCAGAATAAGTTTGTTTCATTATGACATAAATATATCTGTCATGCTAGATGACCATTACAACATTATTTCACCCATATTTTGACATTTTATTTTCACAGTTATTTGAAACATTAAAGTTGACACGTTACTTGCATTTAATTCACCTTTCTAAATGTAAACAGTAGATACATAATTAAGATAAACAACATTGTTACAATGTAAATTCACCACCTCTCAACAGTTTGCAGTTAAAACCACATTAGCATTAAATTCTGAAATTCTTTTTATTTTTTTTCCCCAGTGGAATGAGACCATCAGGCTTCTCCGTGGTGGAATGCCAGTCAGACGTCACTGGGCTCATTTCAGGAGTTATGACCACAGTTTTACAGGAGCCGAGGCTGTCGACTTCCTCCACGAGCTGCTCAGACGAAACCAGAACTTCGGACCGGAGGTGACGCGCTACCAAACACTCCAGTTACTTCGGAAATTCTTCAAAAACCATGTCATCGAGGATGTCAAAGGACGATGTGGTAAAGAGGACTTTGAGGACAGTGGACATTTATACAGGTGCTTTCTTGACTATCTTTCAAAAATGACATTTACAACATTGCCACTGTTATTTTTCTCTTTATTAATGTGAGACTGCTTTAAAACAATCTGCATTGTATAAAGCGCTACATACGAAAAAAGTATATGTTGCGTTATAATAAAAAAATGTTTTTCAAAATAATAATAAATGCTTTAAATATTTTAGATTTCCCCCACAATCACCTCTGAAGCCCGTTCCTGTGCGTCCACCTGTAAGAGATCACAGCTCAGTACCCAGAATCCCACGCTGGGATGACTTTGAGGAGATATCAGTGCCGGAGAAGATCCCAGTGAAGCCTCTTATGGTAAGAGAACGCTTGGCTGTGGAAAAACATTTATTTTCCTAAAAATGTATCCTTTCTGGTGCCATTTACAATGTGAAACCTACCGAGCATGAATTCTCTTCTGCTCACCAAGGCTGCATTTATGTGCTCAAAAATACAGTAAAACAAGCAGCACAAATGTTTTCAACATTGATAATAATAAATGTTTTTTGAGCAGCAAATCTGTATATTACAATGATTTCTTAAGGATCATGTGACACTGAAGACTGGAGAAAGGATGCTGGAAAGTCACAGGAATAAATGACATTTTAACATATATTACAATAGAAAACGGTTCATTCAAATTGTAATAATATTTTACAGTATTACTGAATTTTTTATCATATATGCAGCCACCATGAGCATAAGAGATTTATTTAAAAAACATTTAAAATTCATAATGTTTCCAAACTTTTGACAAAGACTGTACGGTTTACGTAAAGTTTTTCAAATTCTTATATATTTTGATCTAGAATTCCGAATCGTGGAACAAAAGGCACAGCATCGCCATCGGTGAGGTTCCTGAATGCCGTTTAATCCGGAGGAGAGAATTAACCCCGAAACACGTGGACCAGATATGGAAGTCAATGACACTAACACAGTAAGCATCAACAGAGAAGCTCTAATCCTGCTCAAAAAAGGAGTTTTGTTTTTAAAATGAGCTCTCTTATTAGTTTACAGACTGTTTTGGGTCTCCAGTCTCTGGACGGGGTTTTAGATGCCAAACTTCTGAGCCCCAAGCACATCGTTCACAATGTTTTTGGTGTTAATAAGCAGGGGATTGTTGTGCTAAAGAACAAAGCAGGTGAGCAAAGGTTATATTTGAACACATTTAACATATTCTTACAGCTAATTTCTGATGGATCTCTTTCTGTGTGCTGTATATTCTGTAGAGAACTTGCCTCATTGGGTGTTATCTGCAATGAAATGCCTGGCAAACTGTGAGTGACTGATCATCTGCTGTCATACTGATCCAATGTTTAATGGATAATTAAATGTGTTGTTAATAATCACAATAAATAATTATTTTACCATGCGATATAGTTTGTTAGCCTTTGTGTACTTTGCCAAACTGCTTTTTTATAAATTAATATGTAATTAAATATGATGTCTGTGTGCATATATTACATTATAGTCCATCTTTAATTGTGTATTAACTTTTATACATCTTTGAACTAATTTTTAGGGCCCAATGGGAATGACGCCAGGCAGCCCATGTATCCAGGATTTGAGAGAGACGTCTTCAGGACAGTGGCAGAACATTTTCAGAGATTGAAAGAGCCACTTTTGACTTTCCATCTGTATGAAATATTTGTCAGTATTTTGGGTGAGTGATGCACAAGCTATTCACACGATGAGTGATGAACATATTTAATCAGCTGATACATTTTGAGATTATTACAGTGACCAAAAAACAGTCTGAATTCATAGTTCTCTATTCTTTGAGTCTTTGAATTAATAGATTAGTAAATATTGAGTATAAATAAAAAATATATATTTACTATTTATGTACTACTGTCCAAATTTTGAGGCCAGTAAGATTTTTTTTAAAGGGGTCATATGATGCGATTTAAATTTTTCCTTTCTCTTTGGAGTGTTACAAGCTCTTGGTGCATAAAGAAGATCTGTAAAGTTGCAAAGACTAAAGTCTCAAATCCAAAGAGATACTGAATGCTTGATAAGTGACTGACTATATCATGAAACTGCATCCACAACAACTTTGGTGTATTTCTGAGAAAAAAATGAAGTGGGAATTAATGTAATAAATATTGTAGGTATTTGTATTAATATAGATTTGATTGTATTGTGATACAATACAAAAATAGATTGTGATATTATTGGTTTGATATTTTTCTTTCCCACCCATATGGCCTTGGTTATATCAGAGCAGAGTTAAAAATACAAATTATGATAAAATATTATCACTGCACAGTAAGACCAGGAAAATTTGGTAACACTTTACAATAAGTTTTCATTTGATAACATGAATTAACTACATTAGTTAACATTAAGTAACAATGAATAATATTTACATAGTGTTTATGAATTGTAATATTTTTTTCTACATTTTTTAGATCAAAAGTTCTGTTAATATTAGTTGTGAACACATGAACAATCAATGAAAATTTGCTGAATATTTACTCACCCTCAGAGTTTGTTTCTTCTTGGGAACTTGGGTGTTTGGAGAAATGTAGCATTACATCACTTGCTGGCCAATGGATCGTCTGCAGTGAATGGGTACCGTCAGAATGAGAGTCCAAACAGCTAATAAAAACATCACAATAATCCACAAGTAATCCACATCACTCCAGTCCATCAGTTAACATCTTGTGAAGCCAAAAGGTGCGTAAGGAACAAATTCATTTGTAAGGAACAAATTCATTATCAAGACGTTTTTAACTTCAAACCATTACTTCTGGCCACAGTACAAGTCTATAATGCATAATAACGCTTCATCCAATGAAAAAGTCCATCCTCTGCTTTCCTCTGACATCAAAATCCACCGACATATTTGTTTAGAACTGTTTTGGACTGTTTTCATTTGTAAACGGTGCTTGATCTGTGCATATTTCTTTCATGATTCAGACAAGAATTTTTAACTGGAGGAGGCAATATTATGTATTATAGACTTGAAGTTGAAGTTAAAAATGTCTTGATGATGAATTTGCTTCTTATAAACACATACAGTAGCTTTACTACATGAAAACTGTGAAATGTATTTACAGTAGACTTATCACAATTATAATGGTGTGATTGAATTGCTCAGAGTTCTGTCTATAGCCTTTATAGAGATGGAATTGTTTTACACTGACTCTTTCTTTAAATGTCAACTACATGTTGTTCTAAAAGGCCGATGTGTTACAGAAACGTTGAAATCTGAGACGCACTGTTTATTTTCCCCTGTGTGATTTTTTTTTTTTCTTTCTTTCTTGGCTGTCAGTTCCAGAGATCTCATCCTGACATCTACCGCAGACGCTTTCCCACCGCTGAAAGCGAGGCGGCGGTTTTCCCAGAGAGACCCCAGAGACTCAAACCTCAGCTGATGTTCCTCACGCTGAAGAAACCCTTCCAGCCCTTCCAGAGGAGCTGGAGCTTTCGGGCTTGAGTCAGCGCTCGGAGTGCTCAGTCTGACACTAGGGCGACTGTGTTAGGTATTATTATCAAGGAGAGATGTTACTGATTATTAAAGGCTGCATCCTGAATCGAAATGACACTAAATTCACCTCATGAGAGATCAGATGGATTAAATAAAGTTTGATGCTGTGCATTGGAATCCCTTTAAAGCAAGACACTACAGGCAAACACATTTTTTCATGCACTGACCAGTTTTGAGATTTTGCTTTCATTACATGTCTACTTTCAGTATAGTGGAAAGAAAGCATCTAAAATGCACATTTAGGTGTTTATTATATCTATTTGCATCTCTGGATCTCAAGGAGCCATGGTGGAACTATTGGAGAACATCATACAAGACAAGAACATGTCCATTAAAGACAAGAAGAAGAAGCTGAAGCAGGTTAGAGAGGATCCTTTTCACATGTCTTAGGGGCTAAAGGAATATCTGTCACATGGTGTGCATTAGGGATATGCCGGTATCAAATTTTCATGTTGCGATTAATTGCTAATGCTTTTATCACGGTATGCGGTATTATCACGATATTGAAATTTCGTTTTAAAAAGTGCTGTCATAATACAGTATAACAGGTTTAATAACATTTTTCTTATAACAAAAATAACTGAACATTTAGCAATAAAGCAATACAGAAAAATGTATAAAGTCAAAAGTTTTACACAGATTAAAGTGCAAAAGAACTATAAAGACCAATAGGTATCACTTTACAATAAGACCTCATTAGTTAACCTTAGTTAATGCATTAACATTCACAATCAGCAATAGCTACATTTGCT